GCACTTGGCTCGCGTCGTACCATCTCACCGGCGCGGCCCAAACATGGTACTATGCCCTCGAGCAGGACAAGGGCATGCCTACGTGGGACCGTTTCAAGGAGCTGTGCAATCTGCGTTTTGGGCCGGCGGTTCGTGGGACCCGTCTATCCGAACTTGCTCGCCTGCCCTTCACCTCCACGGTACAGGAATACTCCGACCGCTTCAATGCGGTGCTCTGTCATGCTCGGAACCTCTCCGCGCCCCAGAAGGCGGAGTTGTTTGTGGGCGGGCTGCCGGAGCACATCAAGGTCGACGTGGAGCTGCGGGAAACCCCAAGACCTCCAAACGGCCATGCATTTGGCCAGGGCTTTTGACCGTCGCGCCGCTGCCACGATGCCGACCACTCAGCGTGGCGTCCGGCCTCCTCAGCGTCCGAGCATCCCAGCGCCGCTACGGCCTGCTGCAGCGGCACCAGCAGCCCGGGTGCGACCACAACTTAGGCACCAGCAGGCGCTGCGCCCCCTACTCGTCCTTTCCGCCGCCTGTCCCCAACGAAGCAATTGGAGCGTCGCCGCCAAGGTCTCTGCTACAATTGTGATGAGCCCTATGTGCGCGGTCATGTGTGCCAGCGCCTATTCTACCTCGAGTCGGCGGATTTCCTCGACGATGAGATCCCAGCGGAGGTGGCCGTTGCTGCTGCCTTTCCGGAGGAGGTTGTGCATGCGGCTGCCCCAGCAGCGGTGCAGGAACCTGCAGCCCAGCCTCAGGTGTCCCTCTACGCCATCGCCGGCATCCGAACCGAGAATGCTATGCTCCTTCCAGTCTCCGTGCATGGCCACCGTCTTGTGGCGCTCCTCGACTCTGGCTCGACGCACAACTTCATCAATGCTGATCTCCTGCGTCGCCTAAACCTCTCTACAGCACCGCACCCTACCATGCGGGTACTGGTGGCCAACGACGATCGTGTGCCTTGCGAAGGCGTCGCCCGGGATGTGGCCCTGGCCATTGGTACAGAGGAGTTCACCATTAGCTGTTATGGCATCAGCCTGGGTGGTTTTGATCTTATTCTTGGCGTCGAGTTCCTACGTACCGTGGGTCCTATCCTCTGGGACTTCGAGGATTTGTGCATGGCTTTCACATGGGGCTCCCGGCACATTCTGTGGAAGGGCCTGGGCTCCCCCCGCAACGACATTCGGGAACCGGCCGCGCGGGCGATCGCCGCTGCCCCCTCCCAGCCACTATTGGACTGGCTCCTGGAGCAGTTTGAGTCGGTCTTCGCCGAGCCACAGGGGCTCCCTCCGGTGTGGCCGTATGATCACCGCATCCACCTGCTGCTGGGTACAGCTCCGGTCGCTGTTCGCCCCTATCGCTACCCACAGCTGCAGAAGGATGAGTTGGAGCGTCAGTGCGCTGCTATGCTCGCCCAAGGCATCATCCGGCCGAGCACGTCTCCGTTCTCCGCCCCCGTGCTGTTGGTGCGCAAGGCGGACAACTCCTGGCGCTTTTGCATCGACTACCGGGCCCTCAACGCCAAGACGTCCAAGGACAAATTCCCGATTCCGGCCGTCAATGAGCTTCTCGATGAGCTTCATGGGGCTCGCTTCTTCACCAAGCTCGATTTGCGCTCGGGCTACCACCAAGTGCGAATGCACCCCGACGACGTTGCCAAGACGGCGTTCCGCACTCACCATGGTCATTTTGAGTTCCTGGTGATGCCGTTCGGCCTTTCAAACGCGCCGGCAACTTTCCATGCTTTGATGAACGATGTGCTCCGCCCCTTTTTGCGCAGGTTCATGCTTGTGTTTTTCGACGACATACTCATATATAGCGCCTCCTGGGTCGAACACCTGCAGCACCTCAACATCGTCTTCCACGCACTTCGGGCGCACCAGCTCCACCTCAAGCGCTCCAAGTGTTCCTTTGGGGCGTCTTCGGTGGCCTACCTTGGCCACATAATATCAGCGGGCGGCGTCGCCATGGACGCCGACAAGGTGGCTGTGGTCGCCTCGTGGCCGGCACCTTGCTCCGCCGGTGGGCTGCGGGGCTTCTTGGGCCTCGCCGGCTACTACCGGAAGTTCATCCGCGACTTCGGCCTCATCGCTGCGCCGCTGACGCGCCTCCTGCAAAAGGATGCATTCGCCTGGGACGACGAGGCGGACGCGGCGTTCCAGGCACTCAAGGGTGCCCTGTCCACGGGACCCGTCCTTCAAATGCCCGACTTCAACAAGCCGTTCGTGGTGGACTGTGACACGTCATGCGCGGGGTTCGGCACTGTTCTCCACCAAGACGCCGGACCCCTCGCTTTCTTCAGCCGGCCCTTCGCTGCTCGACATCTCAAGCTCGCTGCCTACGAACGCGAGCTGATTGGGCTGGTTCAGGCGGTACGTCACTGTCGACCATACCTATGGGGGCGTCATTTTCTTGTTCGTACAGATCACTACAGCCTCAAGTTCCCGCTGGACCAACGTCTCTCAACTGTACCTCAACACCAGTGGATCAGCAAGTTGTTTGGCTTTGATTTTGTTGTGGAGTATCGCCCTGGCCGCCTGAACATCGTGGCGGATGCGCTGTCCCGCCGCGACATGGAAGAGGGTACAGATCCTGTTCCCGCTGCTCATGCCCTCTCCGGGCCGATGTTCGCCCTCTTCGATGATATCCGTCGGGCTACAACAGCAGCCGCGGACGCCCAGCAGCTCCTCCAGCGCTTACAGGCTGGTGAGCTGCCGGGACCATGGCACTTCGACGACGGTCTCCTCCACGGGTCCCGCATCTTTGTCCCTGACCATGACGACCTGCGCCACCAAGTACTCCTCTTGACTCATTCGGCGGGCCATGAGGGAGTCCAGAAGACTCTGTATCGCCTGCGCACCGACTTCTACATTTCGGTAGACCGCGCCCTTGTCTAGGATTGGGTGCGGGCGTGCAGCACTTGCCAGCGGAACAAGACGGAGTCGCTACAGCCCGCCGGCCTGCTGCAGCCCCTCGACGTTCTGTCACAGGTGTGGGCGGATATCTCCATGGACTTCATCGAGGGGCTGCCCAAGGTCAGCGGCAAATCTATCATCCTCACGGTGGTCGACCGCTTCTCCAAGTATGCGCATTTCATCGCCCTCGGTCACCCCTACACTGTCGCCTCCGTCGCCCGTGCTTTCTTCGACGGCATCGTTCGACTGCATGGTTTCCCTTCTTCCATCGTCAGCGACAGGGACCCCGTGTTCACCGGTCTTGTGTGGCGCGACCTCTTCAAGATGGCCGGCGTCACCTTGCGCATGAGCACGGCCTTCCACCCTCAGACGGACGGCCAGTCTGAGGTGGTCAACAAGGTGATTGCTATGTATTTACGCTGTGTTACAGGTGATCGGCCCAGGGCGTGGGTGGACTGGTTGCCTTGGGCGGAGTATTGCTACAACACCTCCTTTCATACCGCCCTGCGTGCCACCCCGTTCGAAGTGGTCTACGGCAGGCCGCCCCCGCCGATACTACCATACAAGCCGGGGTCGGCGCGGACTGACACGGCCGACGCCCTACTCCGCAGCCGGGATGAGGTGCTCGTTGAGGTCCGGCAGCGCCTCCTTCAAGCGCAGCAGCTGTCTAAGAAGTACTACGACGCCGGCCACCGCGACCTGGAGTTTGCTGTGGGCGATTGTGTTTGGCTGCGCCTGCTTCATCGGACCACGCAGTCTTTGGAGCCCCGGGCCAAAGGTAAGCTTGGCCCTCGCTACGCCGGGCCAGTCCAAGTGCTGGAGCGCATTGGCAGGGTTGCGTATCGGCTGCAACTCCCGGACGGCACTCGCCTGCATGACGTCTTCCATGTGGGCTTGCTCAAACCTCACAAGGGGGGCCCTCCGGCCGCGCCTGCTGGATGGTTGGCTCCTTCCTGCTCCTGAGCGCGCTCTCCGAGCTCAACTCCGGCGGGGCGCTTGGCACGTCCTCATCCAATGGCGCGGACTGCGCGACGAAGCCACCTGGGAGCTCCTCGACGACTTCAAAGGCCTCTACCCCGACTTTCAGCTCGAGGACGAGCTGTTTGCGCAGGCGGGGAGAGATGTTATGACCGGCACCTATTATAATAGGCGCAGGCCCATTAGTGGCTAGAGGAGGACGCCGGCTATAGGGGCTAAGAGCCCATATTATTATTATTTGCTATTTATCGTATTTATTCCTTAATTATAGGATCCTAGAGAGGATAAAGACTCTGTAAACAATTGAGATTGGAATTAAGCAGAAGCAACATATTTGTTGCCGGCTTCCCTTGGGAGCCCTAGCCACACCTCCTCTTCCTCCTTGCGCTGTGAGCACCACGGCGCCAACCCGCCGCCGTTTCTCTAAGCCTCGCCCTCCGCTCTTCCACCCATATAACCTACGCAGCAACTCCGGTAGGGCATCAAGTCCTATCAGAAACCCTCATCACCAGTCCAGGTTTGAAAGCTGGCACAAACTCCTTGAGAACAAAATCAGGGGGGACGTCTCTTCCCCTAGTTGTGTTTTTTTGGGTCATTAGATGCACTTTATATCTTTTCCAAGGATTGTTACTTATTTGATATTTCCTATCCATCTCAAGACATGCCTTCAGTAGCTCCAACGTCCTGTTGAAACAATGCATGAATTTATAGTATACATGAGACTAATGAATTATTGGTTTTGTAGCCAACGAAAACTCAGGGCGTATGGTTGAGGGCCAAACAATTACAATTGGTATGTGCTATCCATTGTCCTTCTCAATTGTATGTTTGGACTTCCATTTTCAGTTAATTGGTTAATGCCCTTAAGAATAGTTTGTGCTGGAGATTTCCTAGTGGTTGCCGTTTCTTGAACATGTTTGTGGGGGAAAAAACTTGGCATAAAGATAATACCATGAGCGTAGAAAATGTCATAATGGACCTTGGAAGTAATTGTACAAGCTCTTGCATGTCATGTAGACATGAAGTCGTACACTTGTAAAAATATTTTATATGAAGTTGAAATATTTTAGCCTACCCCAACTTGCTTGGGACTGAAAGGCTATGTTGTTGTTGTTGTTGTTATTGTTGTTGTTGTTGTTGTTGTTGTTGTTGTTGTTGTGAAATATCTTGATGGAATTCTGCAGAACCTATACTTACAATGGAGAAAACAGAGTGTGTTACATGGGAAGATGGATGGACGACTGTCACTGCTGATGGTAGCTGGGCTGCTCAGTTTGAGCATACCATACTGGTCACTAGGAATGGTGCAGAAATATTGACGAAAGTTTGAGTTAGTCTCCTGCCGTAGTCTTGTCAGAAGTGACTCATCCATTTTCCCAATGAGATGATTGTGCAGCAAATCTCTACTAAAATGTTCTAGGTATGTTTTTCTTTGCTGCAGTTCTCAGCTATGGTTTCTGTCCCAGGCATCCTGATCTTGCACATTGCTTGCTGCAATACTCATTTCATAGTTTTGAGATCTGTTGCAGGCCCATACATAGCAAAGGTTTTCCCCATGTAGCAACTGGCAGGGGATAGGTGAGGGCACACACAGTCACAGTTGCATCTCTGTCATTGATTCATTGCTGGTCCCCTGCTGCCTGCTGTAGTGATGTTGCTGGGGGAATTCCTGCCTCTGGATTCTAGAAGATATTCTGTTTATGAAATAGCACTGCTAATAGTTCAGTTTAGAACTTAGAAGTAGATACTGTTCCAGTTATGATACGGAAAAGTTCATGCGCGCTACCTATTTAGAAGCACAGTTGGCATGCTTGGTCCCAATGATTTTCTTTCGCCTGGATCTGTGGTTGTAGTTGTTGTGTTACAATCTGATAACACAAGTTGTGTTGCACACCACACAAAATGACTACAGGGCATTGGAACATGATTTGATCAGAGGCCACCGTTGCATTGTCATAGCTTGCTGAACCAGGCCAGTCTATTCTGAGCTGAAATGTTGGGCTGCAGGCTGAACTTTAGTTGAAAGGGCTGCCTCAGAGAAATATTTTGGTTGTCAAACATTATTCAGTTACCTTGATACTCGGCCTGTTTGCTGGTTGGTTTCTGATATGTTGTGAGAGGAAAACACTGTTGGCTGGCTGATAAGCCCTGGCTGAAACCAACAAGTGAACAGGCTGACTGTCTTGTCCATTTTTTTTAACTTACACAAATATTTTCAGTCGTTTTACCTACTGTAATATGGTTGCATGCCACTGTTAGCTTTGCTGACGACCAGCTTGGGCATTTGTCTGCTTCATTCATGCCTCCTCCATCCTTACTCAATACGGAGTACTAGGCTACCTTGTCGTTTAATACTTCAGGGACAGCAAATCTAGGCTACTGTCTTGTTGAGGGGAACTAGCATGTCATTTATCGCTGCCGCATGGGGATTGTGCTTGTTAAATTTCGGGTCCCTGGGCGTTTCCCAAAGTGGACGTGCTACTGAAGTGGCATAATCCGTGCCATTTGGAAAGGCCAAACTTTATAACCTTAATTATTCAAGCTTTATATATATACTGATATATTGAGTGTGGAAGTGTGAGGGTGGTTGGAAAGTTGGTAGTTAGGAAAGAGGTAAGATGATGGAGAAAATAGTATATATCAACTAAAGACGACAAAAAAAAATCTGACATTAGGTTAGGACTTGATTTACTAGCACTACCACTATGAAGATGGATCCCTACTCCCTCTAATCTCCAGTTAGATTGCCAAAAACGGGAGAGGGAGAGGGAGAGGGCCTAGGAGGGTCACGTTGGAGTTCAATTTTGGTTGCACTGTAGAGAAAGGGAGTTGAAGAAGGCGGAAATGATGAAAAGTCACAGTAATCAGAGGCAAAGGGAGGATTTAGAGCGTTAGCTAGAGGAATATGACTACATGAGGATTAAGGTTCGAGAGAAGGACAATTTCCTGAGAAATGAAAGCAACATAGGAGGTATGACAATAAGCTTTAAAAACAATCACTGGTTGTCAAAAGCCAAAGTGAAAATACTAGTACTCATTATCCGTATGGCTACTATGGAATTTAAATGCAATTTCTTTATTCAAAAAAAGGTATACAATTCATCTATATTTCTTCATCCTTGTTTCTTCTTCAATGAAATTCATGTGAAAAAAACTGTTTGCGTTAACTTTGTTGGATCATTATTACTACGTTAAAATTGCCTTGGAAAAAACAAGGGGTCCTAGCAAGCTGGCCAAGAAGTGGAGTCCTGTAGTGTAAGGGGGTGTTTGGTTCCACATGATTAAAGTTTAGTCCCCATCGTATAAGATGTTTGAATACTAATTAGAAGTATTAAATATAGATTAATTACAAAACTAATTATATAAATGAAGACTAATTCACGAAACGAATCTATTAAACCTAATCAGTGCAGGATTCGCGAACTTGATGCTACAGTAAACATATACTAATCATGAATTAATTAGGCTTAATAAATACGTCTCGAGATTTAGTCACGGTTTATGCAATTAGTTTTATAATTAATATTTGGTTCTACTAATTGACATCCAACCATCCATCCTTAGCATGACTTGTGCAGGTTTCAGGGCCCACTGTCCAGGTGGCTCACTCTCTGGCACACTGCTTCCTCGCACAGTCGCACGCGGCACGCCCCTTTGCCCCCACCGAATAGCAGCGATGGCTGATGAGCGACGAGTCGACACTAATCACCGAATGAACCCCAGAATACACCAGCAACCATTCTAGATTCAGCAGTTCACCCGCTCCCAACCGGTCCCCGGAAATCCCCCAATCCCAACGCATCTTTTGCCCCGACACCGCACCAACCTCGCGGACTCCACTCCCCTCCAGGACCAGGCGACCAGCTCTCCATCCAGCACCAAGCGGCAAGCACGCACGCTCCCACGCCAACGCCACGCCCCACGTAGCAGAAATCGAGCCCCGAGGGAGCCGGGAGGGAAGAGATTCCTGGAGAAAGCGAGCAAGTGCGCGTCGAAAGCAGCAGTCTTCGTCAAAAGAGGCAATCCCGGAGGCCGGCACGAGCAGGAGCAGCAGCAGGGCACACTCCCCAATCCCAATGGGGAGCAGGAGCAGAGGAGGGAGTGGCAGCGGCTACCGCTTGCTCTTCCCCTTCCTCCTCTTGCTCCACCTCCTCTCTCTTCACTGTAAGCTCTCTCTGTCTACCTCCAGTCATGCTCTAATGGATTTGGTCTGCAAACGGCAGCTGCAAATGCCGGCTCTCGCTGACTCGTTGCAGCCGCAGCAGGCCCGTCGGTGGTGGTGTCGGCGGCAGGGTCCGGCGAGCCGTACGTGGGCGTGACGATCGGCACGCAGGTGACGAACCTGCTGTCGCCGTCGGACCTGGCGTCGTTCCTGCGCGCGCAGCGCATCACCCGCGTGCGCCTCTACGACGCGGACCCGCGGCTGCTGTCGGCGCTGGCCGCCTCGGGGGTGCGCGCCATCGTGGGGGTCCCCAACAACGAGCTCCTGGCGCTGGGCTCCTCCCCGGCGACGGCCGCCTCCTGGGTCTCCCGCCGCGTGCTCCCCTTCGCGGGTGTCAACTCCAGCACCCCGAACGTCATCTCCGCCATCGCCGTCGGTGACGAGGTGCCGACCGCGCTCCCCTCGGCGCTGCCCGTGCTACTCCCGGCCATCCAGTCCCTGGCCGCCGCGCTAGCTGCCGCCAACCTGTCGTCCATCCCGGTGTCGACGCCGCTGCCTTTCTCCGTGGTGCTGGACCCGTTCCCGCCGTCGCAGGCCTTCTTCAACCAGTCCCTGGCCAAGTCGTTCGTGGCCCCGCTGCTCGCCCACCTCGCCAACACCTCGGCGCCGCTGATGCTGAACCTGTACCCGTACTACTCGCTGATGCAGAACAAGGGCGTGATCCCGGTGGACAACGCGCTGTTCCGGCCGCTGCCGCCGTCGCAGGAGATGGTGGACCCCAACACGCTACTCCACTACACCAACGTGTTCGACGCGATGCTGGACGCAGTGCGCGTGGCCGTGCGGAACCTGAACGCCACGGGCGGCGCGAGCGTGCCGATCCTGGTGACGGAGACGGGCTGGCCGTCGTACGGGGACCGGCGCGCGGAGCCGTACGCGACCAGGGACAACGCGGACGCGTACAACTCCAACCTCATCAAGCACGTGCTGGAGGACAAGCCCGGCACGCCCATGGCGCCCGGCGCGCAGTCCAGCGCCTACATCTACGAGCTGTTCAACGAGGACCTCCGCCCAGGCCCCGTGTCGGAGGCGAACTGGGGCCTGTTCTACGGGAACGGCACCCCGGTGTATCTCCTCCACGTGTCCGGCGCCGACGGGTTCCTGGGGAACGACACGACCGACCGGACCTTCTGCGTGGCCGCCGACGACGCGGACGAGAAGGCGGTGCAGGCAGGCATGGACTGGGCGTGCGGCCCCGGGCGCGCCGACTGCACGGCGATACAGCCCGGGCAGGCGTGCTACCAGCCCGACGACGTGCGCAGCCACGCGTCGTTCGCGTTCGATGCCTACTACCAGTCCCAGGGCCGCGCCGCCGGATCGTGCTACTTCCAGGGCGCCGGCATGGTCACCACCGTGGATCCGAGTGAGTACACTCGCTTCTTTTTCTGGCTGCCTGCTCGTCACCATCCGTGTTTATTACTACTGGAGTTACATGATTAATAATCGCGCTTCTTTAATGCCCGCCTGACAAAGACAAATGACTAGCGAACTGCGTGCGTGGAACGAAACTGCCCAGTAGTTTCTCGTGACAGAAGTGCGTAGTGTCGGAGTAGGGTCAATGGAATCGTTTCGGCGTGGGTTCGAGCAGTAGGAGCGACGCCATTGTCACGCCCAGAAAAGCAGGTGCCGCTCATTCACCATTCATCATGGAACACGAGAGCGCTAGCGCACTATGGCTAGTTGATTGAACGAAACGGTCATCGATGGGTAGGAGAAAGGTTGCTTTTCCTTGTAGGTGAGGACCTGAGGGGAGGGGGGCAGGAAGAGTGGAGCTGGGCAAAAAGCTGCTGCTGACTTGTCATGTTCGTTTGCTTATAAGCCGTATTTTTTTAGTCAACGAATAATATTTTTCTTTCACAACAAATCAGTCAACAGTACTTTCAGTCATGGTTTATCAGTCAAGGAAACAGGGCATTGATAGATGGGATGATAACAAATCAGATGATTTCTTTCCTGTACGTGTAGCAAAATGCTTTTGATTTGGGTCTTGTCTAGTTCTCTCCTAAAGTTTATCTCCATATCCCATTGAATGTTTAGACACATACATAGAGTATTAAATATAGACTTAAAAAAATAACAACTAATTTACGAGACGAATCTTTTAAGCCTGATTAGTTTATGATTTGACAATATGATGTTACAGTAACATATTTGCTAATGATAGATTAATTAGGCTTAATAAATCTATTACTGACGAATTCTGTAATTTGACTCTAACACTCCGTGCGACATCTGGTGTCGACACCTCCACGCCCGTTACGACCTGATTTAAACGAGGCCTGGGGACGAGAGAAGCACGCGCAGGTGCAGCACACTATGGAGATGGAGCCGACAGGAGTCGAGCTGGATCTGGCTGTAGATTTGTCTGGTGCTCACACACACCCCACCCACCCACCCACCCCATACAGACTACTATTTTCAATCGTCTCCTTTTCGCATGTGAGCCGGTGCAATGCTATGCTCACAACACATTCCTGTCCTGCATGCCAGGCCCCAAGGGTACATTGCCGATTACACGCCTCGTCAGTACTAGTCCTCACATCACTTTCACCATGTCATCCTGCTCCTTTCATGTCATGTCATGTCACTCTTCGGTTCATGGAAGCGGCTAGCATGCGGGAATGAATGGCTCTCCTCTTTTCGACTTTTTCCTATGGATTATACTAGTGTTTTGGCAGACACATATTTGACCGCATTGATGTTTCCTTTTCATTCACTGGGGGCAAAAAACTTGACAACAAAATATTTTTCTCATCTTTCGGCAAAGTTCAATCATGGTTAATGGTCATGTGGCTGCGGCATGCTCTAAAGGCTAAAGGTGAACCGTGATGGCAGATCTATCGGGTTGCCCATGATTTCCTTTCGGATGCTCTGCATTGCAGCATTGGTACAGGTTGCATTCTCAACTTTCAAATGCAGCCAAGTGTACCCGGCCATCTGGGCATTGTTGTGTAGCAAATGGGGGCATTCTGAAGATCTAGGACAGTGGACACGTTTGGATGCTTGCCACATTTTACCATACTCATGTTTACTTACTGTATTCATGTTCAAGAATCAAGACTAACAGTCATTGATGGGGGGCTTGGTTATGTGTCCAGCACAGAGCTGAGAGCATGTGGTCAGGAGGTTAGGCATTTTTTTTTCGCGCGGGAGCTTAGGCATTCTTGGCAGGTGAATCACGGCACTACCATGTCACAATAACTATATATGAGCTAATGCTGCTGAAGCTGAACTTCTACTTGTTGGGGGCAGGCTGTAGCAACATCTTAGGACAGTAACAGTTACCCTTTTCATGTGCAAAAAGGGCTATACCATTACTCCTATCTTATATAGAGGAAAAAAATGGCAAGGGGAGAGGAATGGAAAAGGAGAAAGTGCAGGCTGGAATCTCTTGGATCTGGATGCAATGTGGGATCAAGACAAAGCGTGATCCATGCTAGTGGCCAACTGGTGGGAGTGCTGGGAGCATGTAGCATTGTCTGGTATGGGAACAGTATTATTATTATCTGGACACATGTGTATGGTGATAGATTAACAGGATCCACTAGCCATAGATCTAGCGGGTCAAACTGACATTTAGAATATGGAGTAAACCCTAGAACATGATCTAGTGCGAGAAAACAGAGAGAGAGAGAGAGAGAGAGGGATGCGGGGTAGCAAACCATCGGCCGCCTTCGAGGAAGACGAGCTGGCCATCGTGTCGGTGACGCGGTGGAGGCGCGGTCGTAGAGAGGCGGTGCAGAGGTGACGGTGCAGAGGCGGCGGTGGCCGGTGGCGGTGCTTCCCGTCGCTGGCAGCGCCCTCTCTCTAGATCGGCTTAGGGTTAGAATGTAGGTGGGGTTGTGGCGGCGCAGGTGAAGCTCGTGCCTTGTGCCCCGGCACCCACCTCCCTTTTTATGGCGCTGTGCGACGGGGGCCCACCAACCATAGAACGGTTGGGCGCCCCCGATCAGGGCGTGGATCAAGGGCCCAATTGGCCATTGGGCCAAGTTGGTGGAGATCAACCTAACATATGGAAGTATGATGCTCGATCTGCAATTTTCCTAACAGACTCTTTGGAGTACTATAGCACTTAGCCTTGCTCCAGGGGTAGCTAATGTGGATGACGAACACTGAGTCTGGCCTGTAGGCATTTGGTGGTTATGTGCTCAGGCAACACTGAATGGAAACCTCTGAATATAATCTGAGTGGCCCAGGATGCTCATTTGGCCATTGGGGCTTTCTACAGTACCTAGTGCCATTTAGATTGCGTTCTCCTTTTCAAGGGGTAATGTTTTGTCTGAAATACCAGAACCTGTTCATGCATATTTGATTGAAAGTCTTTTTTATTATTAGGAAATAACTTTCTGTTCTTCTGGTATGGTTTCCCAGACCTATTGGTAAAGCTTTTGATTTACTTTGCAACATGGTGTTTCTGTGGTGGGACTGTGGGAAGGTCAAAGCTTCCCCATGGCATGAAATTTACGTGGGCTCCCATGTATACTCATGTACTATCCACTAAGCCAAAGGGTGCCTAGCTCAAACGGTTAGGTTTCCCGGCGGCACTCCTCAGGTCCTGAGTTCGACTCCCCGTGGGAGCGAATTTCAGGCTGAGGTTAAAAAAATCCCCTCGCCCGTCACATGTGCCAAAGCGCAGTAATGGTCCGGCCCAGGGTCTGGTCCGGCCTGTGGATCCGTGTGTGTGCGCCTTGAGTGCCGCACGGCCCAGGTCCGGCAGACGCCTTCTCATTGGCCAAGGATACCGCTGCGTCAGGATGTGGACGGGAGGTTCGGGGATTTTCTCGATCTGTGTGAGAAGATCTTCTTCTTAGTAAGAAAACCCGGGGGCCGTCATAACCCCCCGCAGGTCGAGTTTTTTACTATCCACTAACGAGGGTCGTTCCTTTTAGTGGTCCTGAGGTCCAAGGACTATGTAAACAGACAATTTTGTCCTCATTTGATAATTTACAGGTGTAGGTTATTTTCAATTTTGCCCATCTTCCTTCTCTATTAATATATGCCCAGCAGATCTCATGCTGGTAGCTTTACCCATCTTTTTCTTAGTGGCCTTAGAAATCATATTGCTTTACCTCTAGGATTTTGCTGTGCATCTCTGTGTTCAAAGCCCGTAAGCATGTCAGACTAGTTTTTTTTTTGTGTTCACATATTGGACCATACACGAATTTTGCTTCAATCTTCAACATCCACTATGCTTTTCTAACAAATGGATATCTTTTGCTATGCAGGTCATGACAGCTGTTTATTTCCTGGAAGGTAAATTGCTGAAACTTCTCCTTTGTGATGTCGATGATATTGCTCTATTTATCCATTATTATCAATGCTTGTTAAGGGTAAACTATAATAGTACTGTGCCAAATACAAAAACTGTTAAGTAGTGGTGGTAAAATCATTCTATTCTTCCACTTGCTTCCAATCTCAGTATGCTTATTATTGTGGATTTAGGGCCCTTTGCTGTGCAAACCCAGCCTGCTTTTGTAACAAAATCTGCTCAACCTCTGTTTTTTTTATGAGCTTGCAAGAAACTCCAACATCGATAAAATTGGTGGGGATCCCCCCTTTCCTCAAAGAAACACATACATAGAAAGGACACCTGAGCTTAAGGAATCATAGAACCCTACTAAGACTCTAAGAGGTTGACAACAGACCATTTATTATTGTAGATAAAAAAAATAGCAGCTAAAATTGCCTTGCAGTGGACATTTCTGTTTTTGAAAAAATGTCTCATGCACAATAAGCATAAAGTCTGTTTTAGTGATTCGGAAGGATATTTTTTTGATATGAAATGTTAAATCAGATGCTGCATGTCATATCTCACTCCACACTTAAGCTTTGCTAATGCTGGCCTTCATCATGCAGTAAGCTGCTGAGCAACAGCACTGGATCTGGCAGCACGAACACATCTATGACGCCCACAAGTGATGCGGAGGGATCTGCGATATGGAGACTAAGAACTGGAAGGGACAAAGGGTTCTTGCTCTTCCTTCAGTTGGTACTTAGCATTGCGGTGGTTATCGTGGTGGATTCGAACTTTTGGACATGACAAGAGGTTGTTAACTGTATAACAAACTAAAACCAGAAATTTTGGGTGGTATGTTAGAGGAGGAAGGAGAGGGGGCGGGGGATTGGGTTATGCTTAGTGATTCTTTATTGTTAGATAAGCATTAATAAATTGATCAATTTTCTTCATCTAATGAAATGTGTCTATAATCTGCTGAAATGAATCGACATTTCAATCTCTCAGTCCATACAATAGTGCTGACTATATTATAGCGTCAGGATGAGGGAAAAAAACTATATTATACAAGCATGCCGCGAGCTGGAGCTTGCAGTGATTCCTAATCATTTGTTGTCTGTTGTGTGAGACCGTTGTGTAAATGGAGTCTGATTCCTCCTTTGAGAGGATGAAGCCGGATGATATTTCCGTTATCTAAGAAAACAATAGTCATGACTGATCATGTGTATTTTCAGTTACAGAAGCCAAGATGTTATTTTCCATTTTCTAAGAAAAGAGTGCTCGTAGAGAATATGCAGCATAAGTTGCAACTTATTTCTAGTTGATACCTCAACGTAAGAACAGTTCTCAGGATTACAATGCAAGATCGCCAACAAATAAGAAGTTGTTTTTGCACGCACGAGAAGTAGAAAGTAGGATACCAGAAGCCGGTTTGTTTGGCTTCTTTTTCAGTCGGAACAGTATTTCTCTCTCACAATGATTCAACCAGAACAGTGTTTTTCAGCCAGTTTCAACTAAAATTCAGCAAGCCGAACGGGGCTAGATGTTTTTCTCTCACAACATTTCTAGTGTTGCTTCGCTCTTTAGTGTAAGTGCACAAAAGAGGGTGGTGATGATTATACCGCCGTGTCGAGAAATTGAGCCAATCACAAGATGGAGCCAATCAATCAATCACAAGATAATCAATGAAATCATCGGACAATGATGACACAAGATTTTTTACCGAAGTTCACTTGCTTGCCGGCAAGCTAGTCCTCGTTGTGGTGATTCACTCACTTGGAGGTTCACGCGCTAATTGGCATCACACGCCAAATCCACAATCGGGTGCCGCACAACCAACACAAGATGAGGATCACACAAGCCACGAGCAATCCACTAGAGTACCTTTAGACTCTCCACCGAGGAATGGTCAAGAACTCCTCACAATCACCACGATCAGAACCGGAGACAATCACCAACCTCCGCTCGACGATCCTCGCTGCTCCAAACTGTCTAGGTGGCAGCAACCGCCAAGAGTAACAAACGAATCCCATAGCGAAACACAAACACCAAGTGCCTCTAGATGCAATCACTTAAGTAATGCACTTGAATTCACTCACAATCTCACAAAGATGATGAATCAATGATGAAGATGAGTAGGAGGGCTTTGGCTAAGCTCAAAAAGTTGCTATGTCAATACAGATGGCCAAGAGAGTAAGCTTGAGCCGGCCAAGGGGCTTAAATAGAGGCTCCCACGAAATAGAGTCGTTGGTCCCTGCACCTCACTGTCCCCTAGCGTCCAGTCGTGGATCACCATCCACGTGTCCCCATTTAAATCATGGCCACCTGATCTCCAACGGTCAATAGAGCTTCGTGCCACTGCTTAAGTAATGATCGGACGTACCGCCACGTGACCTGACTCACTCGCGCTGCATCAGGTCAACAGAACCGCGCGCGATGCACACTATGACCGGACACGCCGATCAACTTCAGCCACCACACGTCAGGTCGTTTACAGAGAGATTCCAGAAGCACTTTTCTGCGATCGGACGCGTCAGGTGCTCCTTGACCGGATACACCTCAGCGTCAACTCCTTGTTCTCTTCACTGTGCGCCACCATGTCACCGTACATCATCATGACTAGACTCAGCTCCTGAGCGTCAGGTCATAGGTTGACCCAGCATCTGGTCACACGGCCAAACAAGCCCGAGCGCGCCCTTCATTTTTATAAATAACCGAACTCATTGACCCAGCGTCCGGTCACACCTTGAGCTACGTCCGGTCACTGGGTTTCAGTGAAAATCAACTCCTTCACTTCACCAACTTCTTCACCCTTGCTCAAATGTGCCAACCACCAAGTGTATCACCTTGTGCATGTGTGTTAGCATATTTTCACAAACATTTTCAAAGGTGTTAGCTCTCCACTAGATTTAAATACATATGCAATGAGTTAGAGCATCTAGTGGCACTTTAATAACCGTATTTCGATACGAGTTTCACCCCTCTTAATAGTACGACTATCGATCCTAAATGTGATCACACTCGCTAAATGTCTCAATCACCAAACCAAAAAGCTCCTATCAAGATTCACCTCTGACTTGAGCTTTTTGTTTTTCTCTTTCCTCTTTTCCAAGTCTAAAACTTGATCATCACCATGGTAACACCATCATCATGATCTTCACCGTTGCTCCATCACTTGAAATAGCGCTACCTATCTCATGATCACTTTGATAAACTAGGTTAGCACTTAGGGTTTCATCAATTCATCAAAACCAAACTAAAGCTTTCACAAGTGCTCCAACCAACCAATGTTGCAAGAGATCATCCATTGGACTCTATAATTGGTGATATTTCAAGAGGTGTACAAACAAGATCAAGATTGACATCATTTTATGAACACTTCTCATTTGTGTCATCCATTGAACCAAACAAGATAGATGAAGTTTTGAAGGATGTAGATTGGGTCAATGCTATGCATGAAGAGCTAAACAACTTCACAAGAAATGAAGTATGAAAATTAGTTGAGAGGCCTAAGGATCATAATGTGATTGAAACTAAATGTGTCTTTCGTAACAAGTAAGATCAAGATGGGATAGTTGTAAGGAATAAAACAAGATTAGTGGCTCAAGGCTACACACAAGTTGAATGTCTTGACTTTGGAGAAATATATGCACCGGTTATAAGATTGAAAGCAATTAGGATCTTGTTAGCCTATGCTTGTGCCCACAACATTAAGTTGTACAAATAGATGTGAAGAGTGCATTTCTCAATGGGTACATCAATGAGCTAGTCTATGTTGAACAACCACCTGGTTTTGAAGATGACAAGAAACCCAACCATGTCTACAAGTTGAATAAGGCTTTGCATGGATTGAAACAAGCACCAAGAGCATGGTATGAGAGGTTGAGGGATTTTCTACTCTCTAGAGGGTTGAAGATGGGCAAGGTTGACACCACTCTTTTCACCAAAAAGATAGACAATGACTTGTTTGTGTTGCAAATCTATGTTGATGACATTATCTTTGGATCAACCAATCAAGATTTTTATGAGAAGTATGGAAAGATGATGGCAAATGAATTTGAGATGTCCACGATTTGAGAGCTTAGTTACTTCCTTGGTCTTCAAATCAAGCAAATGAAGAATAGCATATTTGTGAGTCAAGGCAAGTATATCAAAGATATGCTCAAGAAGTTTAGAATTGATGATGCTAAAGCTATTAGTATATCAATGGGGACAAATGAAAGCTTGAATAGTGATGCTAGTGGCAACATAGTGGATCAAAAGATGCATCAATCTATGATTAGAAGCCTACTCTATGTGACCGCATCAAGGCCGGATGCGATATTTAGTGTATGCATGTGTACGGATTTTAAGCCTCGCCAAAAGAAAGTCATTTGAAGACAACAAAGAGAATATTGAGGTACTTGAAGCATATACAAAATGTTGGATTGTGGTATCCCAAAGGAACAAGATTTGAATTGATTGGATATTCAGCCTCTTATTATGCGGGATGCAAACTTGAGAGGAATAGCACATCGTGCACATGTCAACTATTAGAAAGATCACTTGTGTCTTGGTCATCAAAGAAGCAAAATAGTATAGCACTTTCATCCACCAAAGCGGAGTACATTTCGACCAGTAGTTGTGCTCAATTACTTTGAATGAAGGCAACTTTAAGTGACTTTAGAATCAAATTCAAATAAGTACCATTGCTATGTAATAATAAGAGTGCCGTGAAGCTCACCAACAACCCAGTTGAACAATAAGAACAAAATACATAGATGTCCGCCACTATTTCATAAGAGATCACCAATAAAAAGGAAATATTTGTATTGAGAGTGTGGACACCGATGATCAACTTACCGATATTTTTACCTAGCCACTTGATGAGAAGAGGTTTTGCAAGCTAAGGAATGAACTGAACATACTTGACTTCTCTAATATGTGTTGATGCACCCCCATATATGACATGTCTTTCCTTCGAGCAAAGCAAGGTAAAGTTATTTGACATGTCATTCATCCTTTGCTAAGGATTTGTTTAGTACATCTAGTCATTCCTCACATGTCTTAGGCTCATTCATGAAAATCTAATAAATTTGTTGTTTGTATAGTACCACTATTGCTTCCATGTTTAAAATGATCTAGTGGTAGCATATGACATGTTTGTGGGCTTGTGAACCTAGTGTTTAATCTAGAAAATGAGCTATAAGTGTTTAATTCAACATGGTTAAGATAACCCTTGCAATGAGGTGTGAAAAAGCTTGCCCTTGGATCAAAACGAGTTCAATATCTTTTGCAAGTGATCTAGATTGAACCAAATTTAACAAATGATCCTCACTTAATATGGTCTCACCCCAACCTATCTAAAATTTGAGCTCACCTTTTATGATATTTCATGCCAAAGGAGAAGAGAGATTCACAAAGATAGTAATATAGGGGGAGCAAACAAATAAAATGACATTGTAAGGGGACCAATTAAAATTTAAAACACACAACTAGGGAGAGCAAGCTCATAAACTTGTACGTTGCATTTTTATGTGCATTACATATGTTTGCTTGCATGGCACAAGTTTTTAAATTTCATATCCATGCTTGTGTGGTGTATGCTAGATAGTAGAAAATGGTTGATAAAATAAAAACTAGCATGCATAGAATGATAGCTAGATATTCACTTGTTTTTTCAAATGGTATTAGAACCTTGCTTATAATATTGATCTCACGAGGTATCTAGTGTTTGTCTTTATAAGTGGTATCTTGCAAATCATGGTGCTAAGGATGGTATTATTGGTTACTTCGATTGGTATCACGCTTCAAAGGTCCATTCTTTA